AATTGTGGATTTCTTTTAAATAATAAATTTCTGTCCATTCTACGTAGCATAATATTACTCATACTCCTTTGTTGAACATGATTATATGTATTACACCTTTTTATAAGCTTTCGGTTCTTTAAAATGCTCACTAGAACAGGTCGTCGGCAAGCCAATATCTCCATTATTTAATTAATCTAAAAACATAAAAAAAATTTTGATTATAGTTATTTAGCAAATCAGGTTTATGTAATTGAATAATTTTCAACAATTTTGTTTTTGCCTAACAATTGAATTTATTTAAAAATGTTAGAGGAAATATAGATCTTTCATGAATTATATAACAAAACATATGTTAAAAATTGTTTTAGATGTTTAGATTAAATACTATGTGCTAGATGGACAATTCAAAATAAGTTTAAATAGGATTATCAGTTATTTATTAAACTATAAAATATCATAAAAAAAAGACAAGCAATACTAAACAATATTTAGCTACCTCTTAAATTGTTACCATTATGAAAATTTATTCAATTAATTAATAGTGAAGAATAAAATGTTATTTTCAACAGATTAGTGATAATATTATTTTGGGCTAAGATTTAAAGTACAAACAGTACTATATTCAAATGTATGAAATTATATTGAATTCTGTGTAAAAGACAAGAAATTTCTATTGGATTTATTATTTGAACTGTGATTGAAATAATAAATTTTTAATAAATTTTATGTATTTTAATTTATATATTTTATATTTTCACACAAAATTATTAAAGATTATTATGAGAACATACCTGTTGGTTGTCTTTACGTACAAAATAAAATATTAGGTTATTACCAAAGTCAAACTTGAGTAGCGATGTTTATCAAAATTCGATAATTTAAAAATATTTTAAAGAACATCTAATATTGTTTTATTTTTCATACAATCAATATTACATTTCTTATATAAAACTATATTTCGCCGATATGGATTGATTCATAAAGAGTAAACTATTAAATAATAGTTTGGATAAAATCAACTGATTAACCGCTCATTAAAGCTAATTCGGTAGTTTTTTTTAAGAGACAAGATCATAAGATCATTAAGAAGTAAGAACTTGGAACAGTCAGAACTTCAGAATAGTACTGTTTTTGCCTGTATTTCGACAACTGTTATCTTTGCGGTTTTATTGATTAGTTATGAACCATGGTATTGTATGTACCTGATACTTGTCAGTCTTGCCACCCTTAGTGTTTTCAAAATTATTTAAAAAAGTACATTATATATTCGTATTTCGTACTATTCATAGTTTCGTATAAAAATGCAGCACTTTTGCATTTTGAAAAGTTTGAAAATGTGAATTTTGTCATGAATTATGAATAATATATTATTATATCATAGAATAAACCAATGTATGTTTATGATCTTATTCTAAATAATTTAAATCTTTAAGTGTTAAGTTTATATTAATTCTTTGTATAAAGGTACCCAATGTAACATAAAATTTTGATTTGGAAAAAAGTCTAACTCCATTGAGTTAATACATTAATGTATTATCTATATTTATGTATTTATTATTTATTTAGACATGGTATGATACCTAAGTACTAAGGTACCTATGTGTAATACAAGAAAAACCAGAAAAACCGGAGACCTCGCTCTACTGTATAGTAGTAACTATTTGATGTGTAATCTGATCATTGAGTAAGTCTTTATTATTAATGTATTAAATTTTAAATTTATCATTATGTATTAACAATAACAATATTCTCAACAAATATAAATAGTCTTCACTCAAAATGATGGACATTCATTCTAATTATTATTATTATATTTCTAAAGATATAGATAGGTATATAAATTTGTGTCAGTACTTAAATACGATACCTTACTGCTTGCGTTAATATTTTGTAAATATTAATGTTTAATTAATAACTATATGCATAATCAAGTAATTAACGTTATGTCAAAAATTTTAATTATTAATGTTTATAAAAAATAGCTTTTAAATGATTATTAGATTTTATGATTTCAGTATGAACTAATTATGAGAAATCTTTCAATAAATTTTCAAAATTTAAGAAAGTTTTTATGACTTAACTACAAAAGTTAAAATTCTAACTTCAAATGCAGGTAAAAAATGTATTTTGTATTTTAATATTTTTATTAACAGCTGCAGAAAAAAACTAAAAAAAAAAATCTCATTTCTATAACTAAATCAAAAAATTCTAAATGTTTTTAAAATTTTATTATGATTATTAAAAAATTATAACGTAAGCATTTGGTGAACATTTCAACTATTTACTGATATTTATTTTCGATTATACTAAGGAAACAAAATCAATTTTGTCAAAATTGGATTTGCATAAAAATTCACACTTTTCCTTCGTTTACTTTTTTTCCAATTATAAAAAATGCCAACATTTTTTAATCTTGGCTTCTCTAAAATACAAACTGAATTCAAATTTCTATCCAAAATCACTTTCAAGGTTTATAATTGAATTACTTTATCTACACCTTATTGTGTATTCATACATACACAAAAGAAAAACACAGCATTGTAGAATCTATACATTCATATCTAAAATGAGTAAAATGTACAATACTTTGAAATGTATTAATCAAAATATTAATAGAAATTCAGTCATAAGATGGTTTGAATATTAGAAAAAAGTTAAAATTAAAATCTTTAATATAATCATATAATACAATTAGAAATATAACCTAACACAAGATCAAATAAATGTCAAACATGGTCCATTATTATGTAAAACTATATAATTTAAAATAATATTTAATTTGAATCTACCAAAGTTAATCGTTCATAATATATAAAGAATTTTAAGTACTTATATAAATTAAACACACTATTTCTTTAGATATCTAGTCATATTAGTTATATCAGAAGCATTCAAACTTTTTAATCCTAAGACTTCATATTTTCACATTTTATTTGTTCTTAGATTATTAAGATTTAAGGACACAGAAAGAAAATATTTTATTATTTATAATAAATACATCAATTACATACTAGATGCAAATGTAATTTTTGTACAAAGAAAAATTAAATTAAATGTTCAGGCTTAGAACAAAATAATAAATTAAATATGATTATAACTATTATTTTTTCTCTTCTGTGCCACAGCTTCTCAAACAAAATGAATCAAATAAATTTAAATTATTTCTATTCAAAGTAAATACTCAACAACAATTTCACCATTTTTTTTTTAAAATAAAGTTTCATTAATAATGTAATTTAAAATTTCTATGATTTTATAATTATATTGAAATAAAACTGTTAATTATTACAACACTTAAATACACATATAAGGATATTTGGAAGACAAACTAATTTATCTCAAAAATTGTATCACAATTTTGAACACAAATAATATTTAAGTAGGGATCAATAATATTAAAAAATTTGAAATGTATTTTCAGAATTCAGGATTAATATTTTTTATAAATTGAAAGAATATAAAAAAATACTCTGGTATATAAACTAAAAAAAAAATATTTTTAACTAAAATAAAATGAGAATCATATTATCTATACACTTGTGTATATACTTATGAATACAATAAACTAACAATAAGAACTATGATTTAAAAATCTAAATAAAAAATAAATCATTATTACCATATGGCATATACTATATTTTATATATTATATAATCAATGAAAAAAAAATCATAAAATTAGCATCATTTAAATTAAATATATAGAGCACAATTAAAAGGTTATGTACTTATAATTTGAATTCATAACATTCAATTAAAAATTAGAATTTTATCAGTTGAATACAATAATTTACATTAAATACAACACAAATATATTTGTAATCATTTTTCAGAGTAAAAATAAATTATTTATATTCAATAGAAAATGTTAAGTTTTTTTAAATGGAAACTATTATTTTAATGCACCATCAAATAAACAATACTAATTTTATCTTAATTGTTAAGTTATTATTTTCTGTACTCATGAATAAATAATTTATAATCTTCAATATATATCATTATTACGCAAATCTACAATGACATTTCATATATATTTAATATATTGGAAGCAGATTGAAAATAATGATAAAAAAGTATATATGTGAGCGCTCAATTAAAAAAAAAATCAAGTAATATTTCATTTTATAAAACAATCCTTTATATTATAAATGTTATTACTATAATATATATATATATAAATATATATATTACTAAAAAACACTTAAAATTAAATTTCAATTTTGGATTCTTGTTAAGAAAATGTTACTTGGTGTCTTTTAATAGAATACCCACTATATAAATTATAACACGCTATACCTTGTATAACATTAAATTCAGTTATAAATTGAGTAAACAAAAAGAAAATTTGAAAATAAAATGTACAGCTCAAGCTATCACAAAACAACACAAAATAAAACATTTTTTCTTTTTTTTTTAAATTTAATTTAAATTAACATGAAAAAAATCAAAAACCAACAAGACTTTAAGAATACCAATAAAATTACACTTCTTTCCAATTCAAATCTATATTATCACAGTGGTGAGTACCCTGAAAATATACTTTTAAGTTTAAGTTTAACGGTTTCGATAAAAATGTATTTAAATTGGACTATGCGAGTCCTAGATTTTTTGACATACAATTTAATTTTATTAGATGCTAGACTTTAATTATTTTAGTAGGTATATAATATTTATATAGAATAATGAGCAATTTTTGAAGATGTAAATTATTCTATCAAGGATAAGACTTTTGTTAAAAAATGATTACGTCATACAGATGATTCTTTTCTCTTCAACAATATTGAAACAATGGAATAAGGCCAAAAAACCTTAAATAATTATAATTAAAAATTAAATTAATAATAATATTCATAATATAAGATATACAGCGAGGACATTGCTACTTATAAATTACAAATGTATTAATTACTAAAAAATATATAGTAAATAAAGCTACAGTTGTTCAGTATTTTTAAATTTCTGACTTATAATTATTAGTACATAAAACATAAATATATATATAATATATAATATATGGTTTATGGTAGTTAAAAATTTTTCAAACATATTTGTGTAAATGTGTTGTATTTTGTATGTATACTTAATTTTATATCACAGATATATGTGACTAGTTCACAACTTTTCTGTGTAATCCCACCAGTCTTTTTCATAACCTTCGTGAACATGCTCTAGCAACACTTTTCGCCGACTTTCGCAGTAACTAAAAATTATAAAATTAGTTTAAGTTTACAATTAGTTATACTAGTAAATATTTTAGTAAAATGAGTGATAAGTAAAATAAACTAGAATTAAAGTTTAAAAGGATATGTATGTATATATATATTATATATATATGATTATATATGAATTTCATTAAATATATATTCATTTAATTTGCCATTGTATACAGATTAAGAATATGATGTAATATTTAGATTAAAATGAATACAATTATACTTTAAACCAGCCACTGAAAAATCATTCATCATGATTAATTTTATTAAGATTTAGTTTTAGCTAAAATTTAAAATGATTTACTTTAATTGTATTTGATAGTTAGAAGTATAAACAATCTTTTAATTATAAAATTGATATTACGGTTTATTAACATCTAATTTATAAGTTTTTTTAAATTTTTTTACAGTTATTTAATATTCAAATTTCAATTATCATTGTTTGTGTTTTTTACGATTCTCTAATTTATAAAAACCTGCACTCTGACAATCATACATCATTTAATTTTAGTTTAAAAGATAAAGTAAAATAACAATATTTGAAAACCATCTTAATCAAAAAAATTGTTTATTACCGATATTTATCTTGAACTTTCTGCTTGATGTCAGCTAAATTTTCTGAAGTGATGTCTCTTTCTAAATATTCTGATAGAGTTTCAGTAGCACTTTCCAAGTCTCGTTGGTTATCCTAATGTAATAAAAATACTAAAATTTAGTGACAATTAGACTGATAAATCAATATAATTAATTGGATTTACTTCAAAAAGAACTGATTGATTATTCTTCTTCAAATAGTATGCAAACACGTAAGTGTACATGAGTGTTTGTCTACATTGACATAATATATCAACAGCTTTTTTTAAAAATTGTACCTAAAATGTAATTTAAAGTTTTGATTTTTGCTTATATAATTTAATTATTAGATAATTAAAATAAGTGTTAATACAACTTTTTATATATTTTAAATAATTTAATACCTCAATCCAAGACATATTATGTTGTTGCATTTCTTCCATTTTTTCTTTAACACTAGCATAAAGTTTGTGTTCAAACTTAAGTGATTGCATGTGATTCATGTAACGGTTACAGTAGAAAAGATACCTCTGCAATGCAGCTCTAGATCTTTCTTGAGCATCTCTAGCAGCTTTAGCTTCTTCTTCATCATATCGATTACAGTTATACCTATATGATATTAAACTTACTATAATAATACTAATAAATAAGTTATAAAAAGTTATTTATTTTTTTTAATTTTACCATGAAGATCCATGTGGTTCCCATGGGCCAAGGCATACCCAACAAAAGTCAGTTTTGCAATTTTGATTTTTACAAACCATATGGTTGCAACCACCATCTTTTTCTATAGTTACATTACATTTAGGACACTCCTAAAAGTAAGGTAAAAATATTTTTAATCAATTTGATAAAATAATAGTAATAACTAATTACTTATCTAATTTGAAAGTATAAAATTGAAGTAGTATTTTAACAATTAAATTAGTAATAACAATATTATTAATTGGATTTAACAAGAACAAAAGAAGCAATATTAACATAGCTGACAGCAGTGGCGTATTTAAGGGGGGAGGGTCCCCCGGTTCTCGACCCCCCACCCTAGAAAAAAATTTAAAGACCGTAGTAAGACGAAATTAACTCTACCTTATCACTTTTGTGTTTTTTTTTTTATATTAAATTCTTGGTACTTAATAATTTATCCCCCCCCCCCCCACAAAAAATTTGAAAATACGCCACTGGCTGACAGATACTACAAACAATTAAAATTAAAGGAAATATAATAATAGAAAATAATGGCTTTAAGTATTATTTGATTAGATGTGAAAAACTAAAACATGTACAGGGTTTAATACAAGATGCAGAAATAGTTCAAAAAACTGATATAATTAAACAAATAAAAATTTTACTAGAAATTAAATGGAATGAAGAAAATATGAAGGACAAAAGAAATTTTTAAAAAGCAAAGATGATAAAGAAGAAAAACAGATATAACAGATGTAGGATAGTAACATAATATATGTATTAGCCTAAAATTTAATAATGAAGATCTTGAGGGTTATCATCATACATAAGAAGTATCTAGCAATGTTTGTAAGGTTAATGAGTTAAAATTCAAGGTTTTTTACTAGGACAACACTAAGAATTTATTATAGCCCATGCTCAGAACTATAAATAGTGGAATGGGCAGTAAGAAAGGTATAATGCAAAACAAAAAACAGCTGACTAGGGATAATCAACACAACTATAAGGAATACAGAAATAGACAAGCTATGAATAAGAAAATATTAAAAAGGAATCTGAAATTAAAAATCACAATTATGCTGAGAACTGCATAAATTAAGTAGTAGCGAAAATAATATATTATTGCACAAATGAGGTGAATGATCAAGACAAATTAACACTTGTATGTTTGGTCTAAAAAAGCTACTTTGTAATATATGAACGCTATGTATAAATGAGAAAATCAATATTTGTACAGTAAATTTTAAATCAATTTGCTTTTTAAAAATTTAAAATACAGTTAATGATTAGCTACAAACTAGTACCCAGCATTGAATTTAACTTAAGTCTAAAATAGTATTTATTTTACTATAACCCATCTCATATAAGAGTAACCTTAGCAGAAACAATGTGTGTGGTTGAGTAATACAACAAATGTTGCACTTATAAAAATGTAACTTTATTATTTCAATGATTATTTAGCTAGCACAAGACATTTTTATCAGTGGTATAACGGCAGAAATACAAATTGATTTATCAAGAGGTATGGTCTGATTAAGCTAGATAAAAATCAATTGTCACCTGATATACTCATATTGAATGAGTAGGTATATAATAATTTTTAAGAATCCTACAAATCGGATAATTTTTAAATTTGATAACAGTGTTTCAAATTAATAATACATTGAAACTCCCAAAAATTAATTTGAGTGTATATAATTATATTAATACAATAACACCATAGACAATTTCTAAAAAAACTTAGTTAAATATCTTCTTTTAAATTATTATAAGAAATATATGTGATATTAAATTTTATGTTATAAGTGTCTTAAAGAAGTGATCTACCAACAATATTTCAAACCAACATACCGTATATTAGTATTCAGTAGTATGAAAACAAAATATAGGTATATAATACCTTAATTAGTAATTTAAAGGGAAATAATAAATTTATTATTTAACTAAAAATATTTTAGCTTATAAAGTATAATATTATTTTAAGTTTGTATAAAATCAAATCTAACTCTAATATTAAATGTTTATATTAAGCTTAAGACCTTTGACTATTAATAGACATTATAAAAATAAATAAAATGTGAGATAAGATAAAAAAAAATCTTACAACAAAGTGGTATGTTAAAATAATAAATTTGAAAGCATTAAAAAATCAATTCTAAATAAAATTTATTGCAATTCTTATGTAGGAACGAGGAACCCCTTATGATTTTTCAACAACACATGATGGTAGTTATTATTAGTTTAAAAAAAATAATTAAAAACTTAATAATTTAGATTAAGATAATCATAAGTCACTCAAAATCTAAAATTGATAAAATAAATAATCGTTATAAAATTACTTTAGTATTAGCTGCAATCCAATTTGAAGTTTCTGAATCATCATCACACTTTTTGATCCATTTCCTCAATAAATTACACTTAACAGGATCATGCCAATTTTCTCCACATACAAAACAAAATACATGCAAACATCGACAGATCACTGGTTTTGAATCAATATACTGGGCTTTAATAACATTATTGCAGTCGGGTGATGGGCACCAACGTAATAATCTGTTACACTATTTTAAAGCAAAAAAATGAAAATGTATAGAGGTACAGATTAAATGTAAAAAAAGATTAAATAATTTACTTCAACAAAACTATTAGTAATTAGATGTTGATATTTCATTCGAACTTTTGGATCTCTGACTAGTCGCATCACAGTGGCATCATCTACTAATATATCACAACCACTTGCTGCACATGCAATTGTTTGACCAACACCTTCTTCAATAATTTTTGTTGTTAAATATTCTGTCCAACATTGCGTACAGAATCGATGGTTACATTCTAATCCAGTCATCATCTATAAGTACAAAAAAAAAAAAAGATGTTACATAATGATTTGAATAAAATTTTAATATTTGGCTATCTTGCCGTATGTGTTCTACCATAGATCGCGGTTTACCTGCAATTATGGCACGCTTGTTGTATGTGCTCTACTACCCAATTTATCTTTACTATCGTGACTTAATGCTAATAAAGATTATCACTCTCTTTTACTGCATGATATAATTTTTGATCGTGTATTTAGTCATTGGCCGACAGTTCTTGGGTTTACACGGTTTTTATTTTAACTTTTCAATATGCTTGCAAAAGAATTTTATACCATAATTCAAAACGAAGAATCAGCTACTAATTTTTTAATTTCTAAAAATTGTTTAGTAAATTTAGAAACTATATTGTGCGATAAATGTAGTAGTAAAATTAAGTATTACACAAAAAAAGAACACGGAAAAGAAAGGAAATTGTTGAAGTGTAAAAGGAAAGGGTGTCAAACCATTCAAAGTATAAGGTAAGGCACTATTTAATATTTCATATGTATAATATTAATTACCTATAAATTTAGAAAGAACAATAGTTTTTGGACATCCTTATCTGTATATAAAATTAATGCTTGTACCTATCACCTGTGTATGTATATATGGTGTAATAAAAATAATAATTACTTATATTACTTACAATTAGAGTGGTAAAAACGGTAGAGTGCAATCAAACTGTAGAGCGCATACAACAAGATAGCCTAATATTTAACTTACATTGTTTGGAAGTCTTACAAAGCAAATAGCACAATCTTCCATTCCAGGAGTACCTCTACTGCGTGTAGATGTTGGCTGTAAAAAAATATGTATATAAAAAATAAATAAATGATTGGTCAAACTACTATTACTAGCTAAATTAAATTAAACTTTAAATACAATGTAATAATAATCATAACAATTTTGTTATAATTACATAAATCCATAGTCAATTCTATTGAAATTATTAAAAAATGGTGTAAAACATTATAACAATATAATTAATATTAAAAACTTACTACTTTGGTCATCACCCCACCACTGTATCATATAAAATATATCGTACTGCCACCAATGACTGTCTGATAAATTTAAAAAATTTTAAATTTATGATTAATACCTATTTGTCAATAATATTATCATATCATTATTACTACTATATATTATGTAATGTCAAGTGCATACCTGCCCGGCTTTACAAATATAATTTTAAATGTTATTAAAAATTAATTTAATCATTAATTTTCTATAGTATTAAATATAAATAATTTATTTACAAGCATTCTATATTTACCATAAAAAAAAAATGATATGATCTTTAAAAATTATTATATTCTTTTGTTAAAACAAATCTAAATTTTTAATTTTTTTTTGAAACTTAGATAAATTTATGTTTTAAAAATGATAACACAAAAATAAATTGGCAGAAATCATTAGTTTTTAAGTTATAACCTTACAAAGTTTAGAATTTTTAGCTAGTAAGTACACATATGCACAATTCTCTAGTTAAATTGGTATTCCATGAAATTTTTATTTTTTAGAACTTAAATTTGCTTATTTTAATATATTGTATAATAAAAAAACTCTGATAGCTTAACACAAAAATGTTTCTCGATTTGCTGTGCAATATGATTTCAGAAAGATTACAGTATAAAAATATGCACTTAGGTTACACCTGGAAACCGAATTACCAGTTTGCTCTGACATCTTAAAACAAAAGTATTCCTTGATTTTTAAATGCAACACCACCTTAGGTAGGCCATGAAGAAAATGCAATTTTCTATACCATACGCTAAATGATATTCATTAATCAAATAATTTAACTTGGAAAAAAAGTGTAAAAAGAAACATAGGAATACAGTTTTGAATTTTAGATATATAGTATAATAGAATATGTATGTTTCACAAGGAAACAAACCTAATTAATAACAGTTTTAATTTTAAGGTATTTAACATAACAAACATGATATTCACAATCTACACTAATTTCAATGTGTTATTATAATTCAAAAATTAAGTTTGACTGCCCAATTCCTAATTATTTTATCATTATTAGAGTAAAAAATAACAAAAATTTGGTAAAAACAATGTAGACGTTAAGCTAGATTTATGCCTTTTTGTTTTTTTATATTTAATAAAAATTATTAACAGTACTACAGTTTAAATGTCATTTACTTTTAATACAATTTATAAAATAGAATGGTCATTTAGTGGCAGGATAATTAATTTTATATTATGCAGTGGCAACAATAAATAAGTAAAACTAGTAAAAATTCCTTTTTTTTTTAACTTAAAACCATATTACCTTTAATAACTGATAATACAACAAATTATAGTATACAATAAGTGAATTAAAATGTGTTCAAAATAAAATTAAATAATAGACACTTTTTGATTATCGTATTCCAATAGTAAATAGGATCATTGAAAATTGTCAAAAATGTTGAATCCATTTCATACTCGCATATGTTTAATATTTATTTTAATACATGCAGATGGGTTACAAATATTACTCTAGATTCGATTAGTAAAGCATATACTATTAAAAGTAAATGAAAATCGACTAAAGAACATGATAAAGAACAATTAGGAACTCAATCTATGTTAGATTCTTATTTAATTGAATTTTTGTTGTCAGAAAAAGAAAAAATTATAAATTGTTTATTTACTTAATATAGAAGTTTATTAGATAAAAATTATAATTAAAAACATTTACTGATATTCCCTTATTTAATACATACAATGTGTATTAAATAATAACAAACCTAAAGCTAATACTACAGAAATAAAATGAAAAATTTTGAGGCAGTCAATTAGCTGAAGGTGTACGATAACCAAAATGCACCAAATAATACTATAAGTATATAATAGTCAATAATAAAGAATATGACTCTAAAAAATTCAATACCAAAAAATGGCGTTTTAACACGTTCGACGCCAATATCAACACGTAATTGACATGAGTTAATAGGCCTCGTAGCTGGTGTCAACACATTGTTGATATGCAGTTGACTGTCTGGTATTATGACTTTATTAAGGTGGTTAAAGCCATACACATTTGAAATTTGTGACAGCTATTCATTACCGTAATGTAAATTGACCGATTGTACAAATCGGCGTCGAACGAGTTAAGTAATCTAAAATGCATTGTTAAAATATTATTTAAAAACATAATTCATTACCCTCTGAATAATTGGTTGAGTTCTTTTAAATGGATTAATTACTCTAGCTTCAGAGAATAATTTATCCTGGTCACCATCATAAAATCGTTCCATTAACTTTTCTTTGTCCCATTTAAAATGATTCAACAAAATCCTAGTCGTTGTAGCAGGCATCTAAAATTACCAAAACATATTATACTATACAAAAATTGTACCTTTAAAACTATAGATGTAAAGGTTATCATATACATATATTATGTGCACACAATAATAGTTCCCTAAAGAAAAGTCACGTATTGCATTGATGAAAATAAACTGTCATTATACTTACTTGAAGCACAGTATTGACATCTTTGATGCAATCAATCATGTGTTGAACAATATTGTCTGTGGAGAGAACTTCGAAGGGAAAATCATCAATGTCTTGATTTTTTTCACGCTCGTGCCGCACATCAACCTCCATTGCAAAATCCACATCATCTCCGCTAGATTCATTTCCAGAGTCTATATCGTTCAATGCATCTTCATCCGAGTCCATCGTAACAGCTTATTCCAATAAAATTGAACAGCAAGATAATTTTGATAAAAATGTAGGTATCTTGAACTAGTGAAAATATAATTCTTTTTCAATATCACGCTCGTCAGACAACGTACGAGCGCGTCGATTGTTATTGTTATTCGTTTGTTGTTTTCTAGGCGTGATGATGACTGGTGGTGGACAGTGGTGGCCCAGTGAGCGTATTTTGAAAAAAATAATAATTATATATGTATCAGAAATATATTTCTGTTTTAAACATTTTTTTTATTTTATTTTGCCTAGCAAGTAGCAATCAGTTGTTTTCTGACCCCGGTGACGTCATCCACTTTGTGATCTTGTTTCCTCTACAACCTCTTTGACTTTCATTAATATTCAAAATGGTAAACACTGACTGTTGCGTAGCAATTCGTCCTCCTACTACTTCGATCTCACAAGCGACAGTAATTCAAAAAAATTTGCTAAACCCTTTAAACCTCTCGTTAGTTATGTTCCCGAATACATTTTAATCACGTCTAGAAGAATATATAAATGTGCTTACCATAGACCCATAATAAATCAATTATTATGTGCGCACACCTGTGCTGATGTTTTTTTTTTAAGTTGATATTAAATACACAGGCGTAAAACATATTATATTATTTTATTATGGTACAGGCATCTAAAATGAAATATTATTAGTGTATATATGCGTGACAATATACATCTGCATAAATATAGTAAGTTTCCTGTATACCTACTTTAGAGGTAAGAACTAAATGTTTTTAAATATTACAAAACAACGATCATAATAAAATTTAAGTTTATTTATTTATACATCTAGATTAATTATTTTCATAACGGAAATATTCAAACTAGATATGTTAATTTTATTATATAACACGCAACGTTATATATATTATAATAATTAATCATTGTTTAATATTTGTTTATTTAAAATAAATTATATTTGTATATAATATAGAAAATTCATTCCTTATAATTTCAGAATCGATAACTAAACATACATCCAAGTCATTATGATAAACTTAAATTTCTGTAGCCTTGTAGGTAGTAGCATTGATTTTATAATATAGTATTAATATAGTAAAATAATATTTGTAAACTTAATACAAGTATATTTAATAAAACAGTGTGGTATAAGCCAATGCCCAATTAGTACTAAGTATTAAAATATCTCGAATATTAATTATAGATATATTATTTATATGGTACATTGACGTTAAGCTTAATGTAAATAGATCACTATTAATCCAAAAACTGATGTGTATTTTATACATAAATGATGTAACTCTTATTTCCAATAATTGTCATGTTAAATAAATTGTTTTTAAAAAAAAAATATGTTGACCTTATTGAGTTGTAATGTAATTTTTTTTTGTGGTCAGTTTTTAATATTTAAATATTTTACAAATTATATATTAATAAAGTAAAGGATTAATATATAAATTAATTATATATATATTATATATTTATAAATTATAAGTTTTCAATTGATCTAAACTAAGCGAGTAGACTAATGGGTATGGAGCCGAGACCTAAACACACTTAATAAATAAAAAAAATATTAATCATAAATATATTGAATGTAGGTTATTAATAAATATATTTAAATAATTTATAATATAATGCATAAATATTAACTTAAATTTATTTCAAGTCGTTTAATCTTATATAATAAGCTGAATGGATTATTGTAAATAACAAAAACTATAACAACAATAAAACAAAAAAATCAATTTTTAGTTAAGTATTTAAAATATTTTATTAAAATTCCATATTACATAAGTATTTTTATACTTTTATTTAAATAGTTTCGGTAATGATTATTATATAATCCGTTATTAATTAATCATACCAGTTCAAATAATTTAATATCGATCCAAAGGCTGACATAATAATCATCAGGTACCAGAATGTATACATTATACTTACTAGTCTACTTCATGTAGGTACTACATAGTAAATATTTCAGCGTACATACACATAATTTTATGTATATTCTATGCTTTGTTTTAAAGATCGACACTTCCTAAACTCGCACATTGTATTCAAATGATTCGATGTTAACATACAATAATTATTGTTAGTAGGCAGTTATAGTACCACACGACAATTCGACTTCTAAATGTGTAATAATGTTTTTTTAAATATATAGTTATAGTTTTTAGTCTTTTTACAAATTTGTTAGCTTTATTTGTAAAGGAACGATTGATAATAAAAAAATTTAATATGTCTATACGTTGTTACACTCCTACCACAGTATCTAATCATAAAACAACTAGCGATGCTTGGATCAGCATTCATGGAAATGTATATGATATTACCAATTTTATTACAGTAGTGAGTACTTTATAAGTATCATAACATAATATACTCTCACATTATTACATTATTATAAAAACTTAATCGCTAAAATTGTTTCACGTTATTAAATAGTATGGTCGGGTCTCGGATGATACTGCAGAGTGCTTGCCCATTTATGCTAACTTTTTACCATTTACTAATCAACATTAATTATCGTATTTATTTATTATACTCTTATCTGTATACATTTTAAATTGTTTTAATAAATAAATAAAATAGTAATTAAGGTTTATGTCAAATATAATTTAAGTATTATTCATACCTATTAACCTATAATATATTATAAAATAAATTATGTACAAATATTTACAAAACTAATTTTATAGGCACTTCCAAGTTGGTTCTAAAACGTCCGAATTGATCCCCAGGTTGTTTATAGCAAGTAATACTTAATTTTGCGTAACAAGTCGCTAGTCGATAATGTTTGTATATCAATACCCTAAGAAAATTATTGTTGATTATACCTACCATAGATTAAATATAAAATCTAATAACAATATATAATCTATTACATATTAATACATAATTAAGTATATTTAATCTATGATTATACGTAGGTACTTTAATATTTTCATATTATTTCTTTTATTATAAATTCGTATTTTTATCATTGACTAGCGATAGCAATTGTTTACAAGATTCTTACGTTTAACATAACAAAATCATGAAGAGGTAATTATTAATTAGAATATTTATTTTTTTATAAATAAAGTCAAATATTTTAATCATTATTTAAAATATAATACTATATTATTATTATACATACCCAGATTATAGATTATGGGATGATTATTGTACATCCCAAATAATTTAATTTTCATTAACTCCCCTTTAGTTGCATCGCTGTCTAAAAATCCGAGTATTTATAATATTTCAAATTACTCATTGTAAGTAATTTACATTATTTCGTGTACTTTAATACCTTTATGTCCAAGTTTAAATCATTTAATGCTATTTAAGACAATTATCTATTGTTTATTGAATTTATAGGTGTTTTTAAAGTCACAAACCTGTCAAAAAGACCGTGTGTGACTAAACTCAGAATTAATTTTGTTCAATATTATTTTCGCCTGTTATTATTTTTTTAGACACAATAAAACCATTATAATCGTTTATTGTTATCGATAGTTACAGTTTGTCAATTTTATCGCTTGTTTGTTCATATAATTTCATCGTAAAATTCATTATTCTCGTTTTATTTTATATTCGACACATATATAGGACAAGAAGTATGTGTAAATTGTCAAAATTTTTGTGAAATAAAAAAATAATAATTTTAAAACTACCTATAGAAATATAACAATTTATTTTTATTAAAATTATTAAATTATTAATACAATTATTAATAAATTATGTTTTTAAATAATACCTGTAAATGCGTGATTAAAATAGAGCCTTGAAATATATTACAACTACTAGGAATTGCCTATTTTAAAACTTTCGACTGTCCCAAAAGTGTAAATTTTGAAGATATCAAAAAACTGTAAAGATCAAAGTTGCTCAGAAAAAATAAAGCAATCCAAATCCAGTCTCAAAAATAGTGGTTCCTATTTAAAATTTTTTTATCTTACTGCACATGCGCCTATAAAAATTAGTTAACAATTAAAATTTATCAAAAACAGATATATTTATATGTAAGTAAAAAAAACCCGAATTAAACTCAAAGCCATGCGTTCGAAATATTTCCTGTTACCTTTAAAATTGAACCTAACCATGGACATTTTAATAATAAAAATTATTATTGGATATTCTGGACTTGCTGTATGGGTCTAGAAAATATGTCGTCTAGAACAGGAATCTTCAAACTTTTTTTATCTGAGGCCCACATAAAATAAAAAAAGCTTTTAGCAGGCCAAAATGTATGATCACATTTAATTTTCATGTATAATTTATAAATTACAGCCAATACAACTGATAATTGCTCGTGCGCGTGATAACCACTATGGAAACTATACATATTTTTAGAATATTTTCAGTTATTTGGCGGGTCGGTAAAAACTTATTCGGGGGCCACATCCGGCCCGCGGGCCGTAGTTTGAACACCCCTGATCTAGGAAAGAAGACTTACCGACCATCCACCACCAAAAAACTGTTGTATTATCCCAGTCTGAATAATTGTTAGGTGAATTCTACTTGATGGTTGAACATTATCATTTCTGAAAAGGAACACCTGTAGAGATAGATACTGCAACTACATTGTTATTTTTATATCACTTTTATATCATATGTATAAATATATTTTAGATGTATCATGTATGTATTGGTCACCACGGCGCATATATTGTACACATTTATTTGTAAAAATATAGCTATTTTTTTATAAGTCTTTTAGTATTAATGTATAATAAATAATGAAATTAAAGTAAAAGTAATACTATCGTAGTTACCGCTCCAATTGTGATACCACATGGAAACATTTATTTTGCGTAATTAACTTTTTTTAAGAATTATGAATTTATTAAATTTATTACAAAATATATAATATAATTAAAATAAATATCAGATTATTTAAATATATATATAATAAAAGCATGGTTACATTATGATTTTAGCACCCGGGAGGTGAAGAAGTTCTTATTGAAGCAGCAGGAACAGATGCAACATTGTGTTTCGATAGTATAGGACACTCAGATGAAGCTTACAAATTAATGAGCGATTTAAAAATAGGAAAGTTGTCTTCAAAAGATGAGGTGAGTTTTCATACTAGGTTAACATATACACACTTTATATATAGGTATATGGTAAAAATATAATATGATTGTTATAGTTCTATACTTAATACTTATATAATATAGTGTATGAAAATAGGTTTTACATCACGTATTATTTTAGATGGCACTGATAACAGTATTATTATTATTACTTTATTTTATTTTATTAAATATATTATATAGTCTTGCAATAAATGTAAATGTTATAATATTAT